ACGGTAAACCTATCACCACGACCATACGATCCAAAGGGAGGAATCCAGATTGATGGTCACTCTTCCTTCGAGTGGGCTTACCCTCCTGAAAAGAAGCTTGTAGGTAGTGTCATCTGAAAGACCGGAGAACCTGTAGAAATCTAGGTCACTCGACCTCTCTGTGCTGGGCACCACTACTGTGGGCTGTCAGTTCCGAAATACGAGGGTATGATTCAACTCGGTGAAGAAGATGGGAAGAAAGTCTCAATAGTTGGACATTAGCTGAATACCCACTAACAAGGTTTATTCCTATGTCCATATCTTTTACTGCCGAATGCTCTTCATCGGGGCGAACCCACACTTTGCCATCCGATGTCTGTCCTCCGGACACCGAAATGGAGGCCTTTTTGTCGTGACTGATTGAGTCCTTACCAGAGGGGTCAAGGTTGATTGTCGATCCATGAGAACACCTTGGGAAAAATTCTGTTCGCGGTCTTAAATCAGCTTATCTGTCATACGCCTTCAGATTTACATAAGTGGAAGTTCTGTTCCTCAAATGCTCCATAAGAGTGCCGTAAATATAGCAACTGTTCTCCATGCCCTAGTAACCTGATTCATACCTATGCGCTTTCGAATAAATGGTTGAGTGCTTTATACTGCGAGGACCAGCCAGTCTCCCAGCTACCAACGTCCAACATCCCAATGAGAACCGGGAGGAGAGTGCATGTCAAGCAGTTTGAAAAAAAACATGATATCTTGAAGCTTTAGATCTCGTTTCTACTCACCCCTTCGCTTCCATTACGTCTGCAAGTGTAGTTGTTTACAGGTGCACTGGAGACGGGTCCTCAGCAAACGCAAAGAGCAGTGCGATTTGGTGATTTTCGATTATTTATCGTGTTTTATAAGCACCATTAACGTGATCACCGTCCGAAACGTGACAAAATTATCACCGTATTCTATCAAAGGTAAACGAAGGATCATGTGGTACATAATCCACTTGTCGACCGCTACCAGTCATTTTTCACGTGACACCGTGCTGATGCTGTTGAGCGCTCAAGTTCGAAGAAAATATGCTCTAGTTCATCACGTTCCCCTCATCACCGTAATCCGCCACCTGTAAACGGAAGATCACATGGCACGTAGAACGGAAGATCATGTCGCATATATACGATTCCGAAAAATCATGTTCCATATCACCAGGACGTCATCGGGCTCCACTCATCATTCTAATCCGTCACCGGTAGGCGGAAGATCACGTGGTGCATAATCAATATACTGACATCCACCAGTCGTGCTTCACGTGCCCCTGTGCTGGTATTCTGTGGCGTTTTCTTTTGAAAAAGCGTGCTCCTTGTTCATCTCTTTTGAAATATAGAGCGGCAGATCTGTCGACGTTAGAAGCGAAAAGTTACCCAGATCAACAGAAACATCAAATTGGCGTGCAGCTGAGAGTAGTTGTCGAATTCGGGTTCAATCAGAACATGAGGTTGGCCGAAACTTGGGTTCCGCGCCGACGTGATAAGTCCTAAAAAAGACAAAACCAACCGTGGACCGTCGGAGAGTTTTCAGCGCCTTTATGAGTAATTTCCATTAGGAAAACACAAATTTTGGTCCGTGTTCCATTGAATGTTAACAGCCTATCATCTCAATCTAGTTGCGATTTCTGTTACCACGAGTGAATTTCCATCCCTGCTATGTTCGCAACGCAAGGCAATGTGTCTCGTTCGGACCAACCATTAGTCAGGAACACACCACATTAAGGCAAAACAGATGAACGCAAATCAACGTTCAACCAACATCACATGGTCTGTGAAGGAAATACCGACCGCTTTTCGTGTCCTACATTTCACCCCTCAAAAGCCACAACAAGCTTGAGAACTCCGACCGATTTGGGGACCCTCCTGAAACACGGTGTCTCGTGTGTCCCCGTTCGCCCTGTGAATCAGGATGTTCTCCATTGACACCTCAAACTCGCAAAAACTTCTGCGTCGCTTGTTACAGGGTCATATCACTCTAACCACACGACAATCTACTTCGAATCAAAGAAAAGAATTACGAAATGGACATTTGTCAGGCTCTCTAATGTTTCACTGCACTACTGTGTGTGATGAATCTAATCAAGACTAACACATTCACAGTTTGCTTCCGACTAGAACCGCAAGATTGACGATGCCACCTCGATTGGTGATGAAAAGTACGCGATCCAACTGCCTAGCTCAGCAAACAGATCAACAACCAAACCGCAAGACTGTTTGTTTCTTTCCTACTGGAATAAGTACAAGGAATAAAATAATGTGTGAAATTTGGCTTAAATCAGCTGCTATCTAGACCGATGAATAGTCAGATTATTTTGTTTGAATGGTCGATGATCATGGAAGGGAACCCGATAATCACCAAGGTCTTGTCTTGGAGTCAAGAGATTGTAGCGCAGATGCAATCGGATCGCAGTCGGCCCAACAACCCAATCGCTTTTTCACTTATTCCGACTCGTCCGGTGGGCAACGGGATCGGGCATCCGGTCCTGCGGTTGGGGGTTTCAGGCTTTTATCCTCAGGTGATGTACCTGCAGTACATTCTCCTCAGGTGACAAATCTCAATCAGACGTGATACTTGGTCCTAATAAGGAACAATACCTATTATGGATGAGCTACCTTGGACCCAGGCACTTCTCCGTTAAGACATTCTTCGAAATCCGAACGCATGGATTGGTAATTACCGGGTACTTTGTGGGGACTGACGAATGCTCGAATAAAATATCCTGACTAATCACC